GGCTCACACTAAATCCTAACTCCAACTTAAGAACAATTAGTTCTTACATCATGGCCCTGGCTCAATACTCGCCCTCAGGAAGCAAACACCGAAGATATGAGTACTATAGCAAAATGTGGTGAAGAAATTAGATGGTACGTGACTATCAGATAAAATCGTGTCTGGGGTCTTAAAGGTTTGTCTCCCAACAAGCTGTCGTGTAAGTGAGATGTCAACTAAGTCCACAAGGAAGAAGCACATCCTCATCAGTCACCAAAGGATTGTAAATCATACAATCTGAAGTTGAAGGAGGTTTCAGTATCAGAGCCTAAATGGTGAAAACCTGGTTTGCAGAAGGCTATGCATGACTGTGGGAGCCAAGACACATTTGTAGGAACTACATAAGAAATAGCCTCTGGTGGTTTCCCTCTGTCTGTAATTGAAGGGTGAGAGGAAAGTGGTTACTAAACAGAGAGCATCGGAAAGATGAGTTTAGATCAAAGGAATAAACCTGACTTCAACAGTGTCAGTTGATCCCCACTCTGATGCATGCTGGACCTGATCTGGCTTTCAACATTTTCTGTATTTGGGGTTTTTTTCATTTTATTCTTTATATTAGGGCTTATAACACCTAAGTGTTATGCCGTTGGGGGTCACCCCCTTGAACTTATGTTGCATGTTTTTTCTGTTTTTTGGTATAAGAACCCCACAACTAATGAACCTGTAGGGACAGCAGGTAGAATAAGGGTTTAGGGGGCAGAGGTGGGCATATACTGTCGTGGTGGTTGGAAAGGGAAACGACGTCAAGGAGTCCAGGAAGAACAAGAATGTTTGGAAACTGATGGCTGTAGCAATTGTACAATTCTGCTTGATGTGATTAAGCTATGGAATGATATATGAATTAATCCCAATTAATAACAAACTTTTTTAAAATCAGAAAACAAAAATCCTTCAGCTATTTCTTTTTTTTCTCCCTTCAGCTATTCCAAGCCATCCAACTTATGATTGATTTTCATGTGCTTCGATCTAATGAAAAAAATGTTAAAAGTTGGTAGAAAGTGCCATGTTGTTGTCAGGGATAAGTGAGAAAATGTATATAAAGCCTCATGCCGGGGGAGGGGGAGGGAGGGAAAAAATGAGGACCTAATGTCAGGGGTTTAAGTGGAGAGAAAATGTTTTGAGAATGATGTACAAATGCGCTTTACACAATTGATGTGTGTATGGATTGCGATAATAGTTGTATGAGCCCCTAATAAAATGTTAAAAATTAAATAAATAAATAAAAGATGAAAAAAAAAGCCTCATGCCTCACATATAATTTTACATGCAAGAACTGTTAGCTATAATCTAGCTCAGTGGTTCTCAACCTGCGGGTCATGACCCCTTTGGGGGGGTCAAACAACTCTTTCAAAGGGGTTGCCTGATTCATAACAGTAGCAAAATGACAGTGATGAAGTAGCAACTAAAATCATTTTATGGTTGGGAGGTCAGCACAACATGAGGAACTATATGAAAGTGTCCCAGCATTAGGAAGGCTGAGAACCACTCTAGCTGACTTAGATTGAGACAATAATGTGCCACACATGTAGGGTCTACGCTAGGGGACTTTCCTCAGGTGCCCTTTCTAGCTCTGTTACCTGTTGTGTTCTTGCCCATTCACTCAACCCAGGCTCCCTCAGACTTCACCCCATCTCATTCATGCTTAGTAGCTACAGTCAAAAGGATAGGATTCCATAGGCTTGTGAATGAGCCAAATGCCACTGGAAGTCAGCCAAGCATTGCTGCAGCTTTATATACAATTCCCCAGTCCTTCCTAGACTTCACATCCCAAAAGATGATGGCAGACCTGACCCAGGAGAAAGGCTAGACCTGACTCCATGCCCAAACGAATAGGAGGATTTGGATATCAGAAAGGGGCTCCCTCGCCTTCCTTTGTGTCAGATCTGTCATTTAATCTTCCAATACCCAATGACCTTATGTATGCCACTTCTGCCCTGTCTGTGCCTCAGTTCATAATAAATAAAATGGAAAAATAAATCTCTGATCCAACCTTGCCTTCTTGACCTTTTTCCACGCCTGCTGAGAGGCTGAAAATTAATGAGACCATTGGTGTGGAACCTCTTTTAAGCAAGATGTCAAAATCTAACTTCCTATTTGAAAACAAAAAGACTCAATGCCTGTGAGTTGATTACAACTCCTAAGGACCCTTTAGAACAGAGTAGAAAGTGTCCCCTGTGAGTTTCTGAGACTGTAAATCTTGATGGAAGTAGAGTGTCTCTTCTTTCTCTCACAGCATGGGTGGTGATTCCAAACTGCTGACCTTGTGATTAGCAGCCCAACACATAACCCACTATGCCCAGCAGGGCTCCTGTCTTCCCATCCACCTAATGAGGAAAAAATGGAAATGTCACAGCACTATGTGTATTTCTGGCTCTTCTTGAACAAAACTGGAAGTAGAGTCACTCCAAAGCCACATTTCCACCCAGCACCGGTTCACTAGAGCTGAGTGGTGGTAGCCTCTTCTCACACTGCAGTTCCTGTTGCTTTTTGTTGCTGCCCAAATGCCCATCTACTTCCCCTATTTGGGTTGCCTTCCCAGCCTTTACTGTGCACTGAGTGGGCAACTCTCAGGTTGGTCTAGGCTCTGTCTCCTGTGAGTCCTGCAGCCAAGGGGAGCTCACCCAGTCAGGATAGCCACGGTGACTGCACAGCCGATGGCAAAGGGGGCCAAGGGGCTCTTGGTCCTCTGGTTGATGGTGCTCATGCACACAGTCAGACACAGCAGCGTTGTCAGGATGAACTCCATCACCACCGCCCTCATCACCTGCCCTGGCTCCTGGACCGTCACAAAGGCCGCCCCTGACGTGTTCTGGAACCTTTCCTTGGAACTCACCTCCTGTGGAGAGAAGCAGCTCAGCCTCACCAGGAGGGACGGAGAGGATGCTGGGAGCTGGGGGCCCAAACGCTCGTCCCCACCTTTAGGACCTATGGAGGGTTATGGCCACATAGATATGAACCACACTATGCCATAGGACAAATCTGTTTCCCATTTAACCTCTGGCCCTTGACTGTGTGGCTGTGCAAGCCTCACCTAATGCATTTAAAGACGGAGGATAGCCCAGGAAGGGCTTGGGGTTTACATAACTCAGATGACCCTCTTTGAGAAAAAGAGTACCCCCAAAAATGCAACTTTTGCATTGAGTTATGTTAATGGTAGTGGAACAATCTGAAGGGGATTTGGTTACATAAAAAGAAAAATAATGCCGCTGAATTATACATATTGAAATCGTTGAATTGGAGGGGAGTGGGTGGTGGTGGAAATGAACTCATTGGGAAAAGATCTTAGCATTGCAAACTCTCTAAGTGCAGAGATGATCAGGTGAACAAATGTGATTTTAGACTGAAAGTCTGAAATAAGCCAGCTCTTATAGGACAGAACACCAGGCTGTTAGGACTCTCCCCTTCACCCCTCCCCTCCCCACTACCCCCTCACACTTGCATTTGTTGTTGTGAGGTGCCATGGAGTCAGTTCTGACCCATAGCGACCTTATGCACGAGAGATCGACACACTGCCGGGTCCTGCACCATCCTCACAATTGTTCCTGTGCGTGAGTCCATTGTTGCCGCCATGGTGTCGATCCATCTCTTTGAGGGCCTTCCTCTGCTTCACTGTGTTCATCATGGTCAACTCCACTCAGAGATCAGCTAGTGCCCTCGGACCCCAGGAGCCCTTGCTCCGGCACTATCTCCGACAAGGTTCTGCTTCCATTCTATCTAACAATGTTTGGGGAAGCTAGGCATACGGCTTCCAGCAGCTCCTTCCTCCAGGCTGGGGAGCCACGTCCTTCTTCCTGGTCTGTTCTTAGTGTGGAAACCTGTTCACTTTGAGTGACCTTGCTGGCATCTGAAATACCAATCACCTAGCTTCCAGCATCACAGCAACACATAAGCCACCCGAGTCTGACAAACTGGCAGACAAGCGGTGGACACATACATAGGTAAATGCAACCGTGGGCTTGGTCAGAGGAAGGAGAGGGGGAAATCTTGACTGCGAGGCAAACAACAAAGAAGTCTATTACCCTAGTTATACTTCTCAAAGTTTAACTTGCACACAAATGGTCAGGATACCATGTTAAAACACAGATCCGGATTCTGTTGGTCTGGGGTGGAGCCTGAAATTGACATTTCGTACCAGCTTCTGGCGAATGCTGAGGCTGGTGTTTCCCTGGACCACATTTGGAGGAGCAAGTCTCCACAGTGACCGTGAGACCTTCCTTCCAGGCCTTGGTAGGGATAGCTCCAGCCAGGGTGGATGATGAACACGGGGACGGGGGGCCTGAGGGTCTAGGAGTCATGGAGTCACGTGGTTGTTCAGTGCAAAAGGCCACTTCTGCCTCATCAAAATCCCATGTGACAGTGGAACGGCGTCAGAGGACTTTCTTGGACGTAAATATTATAAGAGCAGGTCTCCCTCCTGCAGAACCCAGTGCTTAACACTGTGTCAAGAAAGTCTGCCTTTGTTTGGAATGGGATCCTTGACTGGCTCAAGCCCCTGGGGCTTTGAGGCGTTATGTGTAGAGATCTAAAAATCCTGGGGATAGCCTTCCTGTTGGCATGTGAGAGCCCCAGAATAAATGGAAGAATGACTCCCATTAGGAGTAGAAAAACTCAGTTAAACGTGAGCCAACTGGAGAACACATAGGAAAGTTACTAAAAGACTTTCTTTTTTTATTAATAAATCATTTTACTGGAGGCTCTTACATACATTACAACAGTCCATACCTCCATTGTATTAAGCGGATATGTACAAATATTGTCATCAACAATTTCAAAACATTACCTTTCTTCTTGAGCCCCTTGATATCAGTTCCTCTAAAAGAGTTTCTTAAAGAGAATAATCACATTTATTGCTCTATTCTCACTCAGCACTCAGTGAGACAGTTGTAGATGGAATGAAAGAACAAATGGGGAAAAAATAATGGAGTGATCCCAATCCACTCCGAGGCAAGATTTGGAGTCAGGACATTAAACTGATGTCCTGCATTTTGCTTCGTGGTCTTCTCAGGGAGGGACTGTGTCCAGACACACAGACCCTTTGAGATTCCTGTTCCCTGGCCATAAATGATTTGTCCCGCTGGAGAAAACAAGCAAAGAGTAGGGCCATTCCCCATCACGTTTCCAAACATACCCCTCCAGCAGCCTAGTCAGAGCTGGAACCACCAGACAAGTCCCCATGGAGTCACCTACCTTGGCCAAGACAGCCCCTATCAGTCCCCCACACAGCTGGGAGAACCAATAGGGAAGAAGCATCATCAGGCTGAGGCCTCCAGTCAGCATAGCTGCCAGGGACACGGCCGGGTTAAAGTGTCCACCACTGGAACCAACAAGAGCAGAAAGAAATCATGAGACCACGGTCTAAGGATGTCACCGGATATAATATATCCCAACCAGCTGTCCAGGCTGTCTTTGTACACCCAGAGCCAGTCAAGGATCCCAGCCCAACTAGAGACAAGCACTACATCTCTTCCATGGTCCCAAAGTGCCAGAAGTAGGGTGAGGAATATGGGGAAGAACTATTGAAATAAAAGCAGCCCCTTTCCTGCCCTAAGCCCAAGTACCAAGGCAGTCATAGAGAGACCATGTAGCACAGCACGACCATCCCTTAACTCCCTGAGAGCTCCCTCCATCCCATGAGCAATGTAGCCATTGGGTAAGACATGTACTAGACTGATACTCCAAGCCCCTAAATTAGCTGTCCAAGAGAGGTAGTCTGACCATCCCCTAGAGTAACCAAACTCATTAGAAAACAAACAAAGTTAAAGAGAATTAGACAAGTGTAAAACGAGAAAAGAGGCAGGCCATGAACATGAGGTTGATTGAACTGCTTAACCAGTAGAACCCCTATATTCTACCTGAGGCTAAAGTGAGGTCAAGATTGAGTACACAAGAAAGATAAAGGGCTCAAGACAGAGATGGTATTGAGCTTTGGGGGTGGGGTCAGAAGTTCTTGATTTTTAGTAGGGCTTGGGAACTGGAGTTATGGAAAAAGAGGACAGAAACTCCCTGCTCCTGTAAACAGGTACAGGCTCAGAAACTTTGTAGAGTGTCACTATGAGTCGGGATTGACTGGAGTTTGGGCTGAGTAGCTGTAGCCTAGAAATTAATCACTACAGGGGTAGATCTCATCTGCAATGGAAGAAAAGGTAAGAGGAGCCCCTTCCACCACCCAGCCTCACCCCTCTGTTCAACCTTTGGCAGACGGGGATATTGCTGGTGGGTGCCCAAGTGGAAAAAGCCCTTAGTTTGCTCTTCTGCACATGTCTGCATTTCCACCAGAAGTCCCTCAGCTGGAGTGACTCCCCTTTTTAAAGATAACAGTAACACTGACAGCAATATTGATGGTACCTAATGGGTACCAAGCTCTTGACCTTACGTAACTACCATGCCTCCCAGGAGGCAGGCGTACAGGGGCAGGTGTTGGAGACAATCTACTCCTGGCTCTGCTAAGTTCGATAAAGAACCTTAGGCCAGTTGCAAGGTCTTTCTCTTCCACAGCTATAAAATGGGAATCATCACAGTACATACCCCGCAGCACTGTCGAAAGTATATCATAAGCTATTAGCTACAAAATAGTTCGTGGCTCATGGTTAGCACTATATATGTGTAGACTTAAAAAAATAATGTTTACAAGAGACTAATACTCCCAGTTTATTGGTGGGTAGCTTGAGATTTGGAGACTGACTTACCCCGGGAGCTCATAGGGTACAGAGTGAAGCTTGAACCCAGGAAGTCTGATTCCCCATCCCACACGCTCATCCTCCGTCTCTCCTGGCCCCTGCCAGACAATGTGCCCCCATTCACCACCCCAAATGACTACCACACTGAATGCCCAGTGCTCCTCTCACCTGATGTTCCCCAGCATGGCAACGATGAGGCCCAAGGCCATCCCGTGGGCCAGGGCTGGCCCCAAAAGTCCAGTGCCCATCTCATTGTGGATAACAGACAGACACCCAATAAATACGAAAAAGGCGGAGCCCAGCAGTTCCACCAGACAGGGCTGCACAAACTTCACGTGGCAGTATACACAGCATCGGCAAACCATGCTCTGCTCTTTCACCTTGCCACTGTCAAATTCAGGGTCACATAGGTCTACGGCTGCCTGCAAAGGGAGAAAGAGAGTGTGTGCATGGGTGGAAGGACAGGTTGAAAGTAGGCCCTGGCCCACCAACCTGTATTCTCAGCCATTCTTGGAGCTCTCAGGCAAGAGAGCAAGCAAGGCGCTGTGGTGGACTTACCTCCGCAGACATTGGGCGCACCTGCCCTGAGCTGTGACAGGACGGGGCTCCTGCCTGAGCCGCTATGCCGGCCACTATTATCTGCAGCATAGCAGGCTGGGATTCAGGACAAGTCCTGCTCCTTTTAAAGAACCTCAGAGGCTCACAAAGGGTGCCCAGAAAGCAAGAAGGGTGGGAGGTGGCTCTGAGGCCCAAGAAAAGGAACATTTTTTTCTTCTTTTTATCACAACAGGGCAGGGCTGGGGAGGAGGGTGTGAAGGATTAAGGCGCTTTCTGCCAACCAGGGGAAAAGGCACGCTTTGGCTTTATCATTTGGAAAGTGCAGCCCAGGGCTCTCAGCTGGAGATGGAGATGGAGAGCTCAGCTCCCCAGCCCCCTTCAGTCAGCCTACAATGCCCAAAGGAGACCCGCAGGGGTGGCCTGGGGAGGGTCGGCAGGCTGAGACAGCCTAGGTTAACTCACAGTGATCTCATCTTCATGATTTCCCCAGCTTTCCCACGGCTCTCTCCTCCCAGGAAGCTCTCATCCCTCTGCTCCTCTGACTCATCTGACCCAAGACTGAGGGTGCCCAGTGGTGGCCAGTTGGCTGCGTGGTACAAGGCGGTGGGGTAGCACACAGCAGCATGGGACAGCGGGAAAACCCGTGGACTTGGGACATGAGCATGACTTCTCCGTGCGATACTGAGCATGTGACTGAACATCTGTGCCCCTTACTTGTATCCTCCGTGAAGTGGGAAGTATGGTGACAGGACCAAAGGCATTGAGTGGATGGGAGATTTAAATGAGTCCAATCAGAGATGCAGCGCTATGACTTTTCTCGCCATGGTCTTTGTAACTCCCACCAAATGGCTGGATGGGATCATGCAAGGAGGAAACGCTAAGGTGGGAAATGGTCAGTTTCACCATCCGCACACACCCCACCCCCGGGGTGGAAAAGGAGCCATCACAGAAACAGGAACAGGGGCGCTCCCTGTCATCCAGAAAGAAGAGCGAAGATGAAGTGTGTCCTCTGAACCACAAAAGTCTGGTGCACAGAATCTGTTTGATCCAAGAGACAGCTAGGTGACACCCAGGAGGGTGAGAGACAGAAGGGACATCGTGGAGAATTGGCGGCGGCAGAGACAGTAGCGCCAAGAACACAAGCCAGATGGGCAGGCTCCACAGCCCAAGTGTGGGAAAGGTGAGTGCCTTCCAGCAGGAGGCTGGCGTGCAGATATGCGGCCCATGGAGTTAGAGCTAAACACCTACAGGCTGAGGTTTGTTGGAGTGGAGCGCCCTGTGGACATATACCGGCTGTGATAAAGGAGCTTGGTACCATTTTCCGAGCAAGGCAGAAAGTGAAAGGCTAGGTGGCTAAGAGGCCAAGAGGAGAGCAGCCTCCCTGCAGGGACAGAGGAGAAGAGGCTGTCCTGACTGGAAGAATGATATATACCTGCACATTTCCTCCTGAATTGTAACTCATTCACTTCCCTAATAAGCCGCATAATTGGGCCTATGATCTCTGACTTCTGGGTGGCCATTGCAATGAATTGCTGAACCCAACCAAGAAGTAGGGAGTGCCTTGGGAGGAAGAGTGGGTGTCAGAACAGGTAACGAAGGTTGGAAGGCGGAGGCTTGTCTGACCTCTGTCCCGTAGGACTGGGCCTCAAGCTGAGATGACGTGTGATTCTCCTTCCCCTGTGAAGTCGGAAGAGGTCAGACACTGCCCCTATGTCATTTTCCAAAGCATAAAGGGTTTATGGCGGTGATAGCCAACTAATAAGTATACCAATGTCTACTAATTAAAAATAAAAATCTGTAGCTCATATTTATTGAGCACTTTCTATGTTCCAATGAGCCCTAGTAGTACAGTAGGTCAAATACTCGGCTTCAAGGCAAAGGCCAGCGGTTCAAACCCACCAGCCACTAGGAGAAAGACGTGGCAGTGTGTTCCCACAAAGAGTCACGGCCTTAGAAATCTTATGGGGGCAATTCGGCTCTGTCTTATAGAGTGGTTGCTATGAATTAGAATTGGCCCAAAGGCCACGCACTGCATTGTTGTTTAGGTTTGTTTCGTTTGGTTCTATGTTCTAGGCACTGGGCTAAAAACATTATATGTATTATCTTATTTAAATATCACAACAACCGTAGGAAGAAAGTGCTATTGGTATAGCCATTTTGAAAATAAAAGGAGATGAAATTTCAGGAAGATTGAGTTTCCCAGCATCACCCAGCTTTTGTGATTACAAAAATTGTAGGCTAAGCCACTATGCTTCTTTCTATAAGGCTTTCTGATATGTTTGGGAGACGCATGGATGGACAGAAAGCTAGAAGGAAGGGACAAAAGGAAGGAAAGAAGAAAGGAGAGCGGAAGAAAGGGCGGGCAGGAGTGAGGGCTTTGCTTATCCATCCATTCAACAGCTACTTACACACTTGCTGCGAGGTGTCCGGTTCTGAGAGCTCGATGCGGCGCCGCAGTGAACAAGACAAGGAGGGACTGTGATCGGCACTCCTGTTATGTGAATGCTGGTGGACATACGGGCGAGAAATAGCATCGAAACAACAGAACGTCAATGAGACTCTATAACTTATTGACTCCTCACCACGTGTGACTCTGTGCTCTAGGTGAGTCAAACATGTGGTGAGTCCTCTCCGAGGTAAAGCCTCTCCTTTTCATCCCATCGTCCAGTCGTCAAAATGAGGCACAGGGAGTTGTCCTTGAACCCCTTGCATTAGATAAGCTGTAACTACTTCGGGAAAGATGACCCATCTGGACAAGGGATGGGCAGCTTGGCCATGCCTTGTCCATCTCTGTGGAGCAGCTGCAGTCTGGGAAGGCTTGCGGGTTCCTCCCTTGCTGATCAGGCCCGCTGGCTCCTCCCTCCCTGTGCCACAGAACACTGTCAAATGTTGCCGCCTGTGTCCTTGTAAATTGCAACCTAGGATATTCCTCTAACCCCCGCCTCTGTCCTCCCCCTCAGCCCTTTCCCAAGTGCTGTCAATGCGACCCAACAAACAGCAACGTCAAAAGTGACGTTTAGGTTGATCCGACCGACGGCAGCCCCGTGTATTTCAGAGTGGAACTAAGCTCCATAAGGTTTTCGACGGCTGTAATCTTACACACCGCAGCCCAAGTGATGCAGTTCCAGTTTCCCAACTATCCTGCAGGAGAAAGACATGGCAGTTGGAGTCTGTAAAGATGTATCGCCGTGGAAACCCTATGGGGCAGTTCGGCTCTGTCCTATTGATTGGCTCACCATGAGTCAGACTCAGCTCGACAGCAAAGGGGTTTGGGGATTTGCTCTTATAAAAATAAATCGCCAGGCTTTTCTTCCACAGCACCTCTGAGTGAATTCAAATCACCAATGTCCTGATTAGTTGCCAAAAGCAAATTCTTTGTACTACCCAGGCCTTGTTATTAGCGCTGTGTCTTGACTATTTCTCTCCTTGCTTTGTCCAGTCTTACACTGGTTCTTGGTTAATCCCTTCAAGAAATAAAACTAACCATATACAACTGCTTAATGCTAGGCGATGTATTAGAAATCTCACACATAGTCTCTCAATTAATCTATGATTTCTACTACTTCACAGGCAGGAACTTATTGCTGATAGTACTATACCTCCCCAATTGACCTTGCCTAGCCCAATTTTTTGGTATGTAATTAAGTGTGTTTATTTTTAACAGTTTCATAGACATACAAATTTCATGTCATACATTTCAATAGTTCAGTTACATTCATAAGAGTTGTGCACTCCATCCGGGCGCAAGCCTGGAGGATGATATCCCTACTCAGAACAGCCAGTGCACAGAGAGGACCATATAGCCGGCCCCACTCATTGACCCAAAGCCCTACGGGGACAACACTGGAGACAGTTAGGAATTGCACCTGACCCCACCACACCCAGGCTATCTGGCCCCACCACACGCAGGTGAAACACCACGGGCATGCAACAGAACAGTAAGGGGAGCAGAGAAAGGAAGTCCTGAGGGAGTACCAAAAATAGACTTTGGGGCCAGAGCATGGCACCCCACCAGATTTGATCGGAAAATAATCCTAAAGGTCAACAAACAGACCGTGAACTATTTATAGGCTTTTCTTTTTTGTTGCTATTGTTTTTCTTTTTGTTGTTGTTCCTATTTTATTTTATTTTGTTGTTTTGTTTTGCTCTGCCTTGTTTTTTGTGCATATTATTATCTCTGCAGGTCTATCTAGATACGATAGGCAGGATAAGCAATCTGAAGGAGAAAACAACCAGACCAATGGTTCTGGGGGGACATGAGAGAGGGGGAGGTAGGGGAAAGGAAGTGGGTGTTAACAAACCCAGGGACAAGGAAACAATAAGTGATCCAAAATCAATGGCGAGGAGGGTGTAGGAGGCCTGGTAGGGTTTGACCAAGGGCAATGAGACCAAGAGCAATCACTGAAACCCAAATGAAGGCTGAGCATGATAGTGGGACAAAAGGAAAGTAAAAAGAAATAGAGGAAAGAACTAGGAGGCAAAGTGCATTTATAGAGGTCTAAATACAGGCATGTTCATATGTAAATATACTTACATATGATCATGGGGAAATGGATCTATGTGCATATATTTATAGGTTTAGTACTAAGGTAGCAGATGGACATTGGGCCTCAACGCAAGTACTCCCTCAATGCAAGAACACTTTGTTCTATTAAACTGGCATTCCATGATACTCACCTTCCTGACAGAATCACTGAAGACAAAGCGGGTGCATAAGCAAATGTGGTGAAGAAAGCTGATGGTGCCCGGCTATCAAAAGATATAACATCTGGGGTCTTAAAGGCTTGAAGATAAATAAGTGGCTATCTAGCTGAGAAGCAACAAAGCCCACATGGAAGAAGCACACCAGCCTATGTGATCATAAACTATCAATGGGATAAGGTATCAGGCATCAAAAAACCAAAAAAAATCGTATCATTGTGAATGAGGGGGAGTGCGGAGTGAGACCCAAAGTCCATCTATAGGCAACTGGACATCCCCTTATAGAAGGGTAGTAGGGAGGAGACAAGCCAGTCAGGGTGCAGTATAGCACCGTTGAAACATACAACTTTCCTCTAGTTCTTTAATGCTTCC